ATTATTTTTTCTTAATTTTTATATTTGCGTTCTCAAGTAAAAAAATTAAGTAACTTATTTTTAAATTCTAAAATATGTTTTATAATTTATAAAAAATTTTATTTCTTTTGTTGACTAATTATATAATAAATTGTTAAAATTACATTTGAAATATATCAGCGTTAATTTGATATTATTAATCATTCTCTGAAATCTGAATTCTGTAATTATAAATTATATTTATATAAATTTTATAAAACACTCTCTAAATTTTTCATTTAAGTATACTACTGTGAGGCAATCATATTTCAATATAAATAATTATTAATATAATAATTTTTAAAGTTATATTATACATATAGAAACATTTAAAATTGAATATTTTATTATACATAAATCTAAGTTGTCTTCATCTTATAGCAATTGTAGCATTTAAAGTTGATTTTATTGAGAAAAAATTGCCCAAATGTTTATAAATTTTCAATTACTAACTAATCTGACTCTATGTCTATTTTGGATTATTTGCAATCAATTATTATTTAGTCTTTTTATTTAGTTTGGCTTTACGGCGTTTATATGATATTAATTAATACCCCCCAAAAAACTAAACAGAATCAAAAAATCATCTGCCCAAAATAAGTGAGTTCTAGCTGTCAATGTACGATTCAAAGCAACAACTGTGTTACATACACATCTAACAAATGAGAGTGTACGCTTGCACTGTGTTTATCAAAATTTTGATCAAAGTTTATAATTTTTCAGGAAGTGCCCTAACTTTCAGATATATTTTTGGGCTTAAATATGTTCCCGGTTCAATATTAGTTTAAGAATATATAATTTAATCAAATAAATGTTTGAAACTAGTTCAAAGTATATAATTTTGTTCAGTTTCATTTACTTCCTGAAAATTTAAACCAGAAAATAGTAAGTATTGGAACACTGGAACGTTTTTATTAACCAAAGTAAACAGGTAGTACCTGTAACAAACGGCAATGACAGCGAAACAAATGAAGACGCCCATTACGGAGCCTCCTAAGATGAAAACCAGTGCTAGAGTGCTTAATGTCTCTCCTCTATAATTGGCGTCTGTTAATAAAACTTGTTTTATAATCGTGTAAAGTACGACTCAGTTTAATTTGCTAGGTATACAGAAGGCATTTAATTTTATTTCTATGTTATTTCGAAAAATCATTAATTTTAATTAACAATTGCCCATATTTTTGTAAGCGTTCATTTACTAATCTGAATCTACTTACATTTTGGATTAAACGCAATAAATTATATATTTATTAATTTTCAGATTAATTCAGCTTTATGGCTTTTATCTGGCGATCATTGGGAAACAATTATACCCCAGAAAAAAACAGTGACTTCTAGCTGCCGATATACAATTCAAAGCAACACTTAAGTTACAGGTGACATAAACATCCAACAAAAGGTGTATCGTGTACACTTGCATTATGTTCAGCAACTCAACAGCTCAAGATTAGATATAGCACGGTATTTGTTGTACAAATAGAGTACACACGACACAAAGAATGTACGAGGAAGTGTGTTTTTATAATTTTTGTTCAAGTTATATATTTTCAGGAAGTTCAATATGATTATATCAACTTGAAACTTAAAGTTAAAATTTTAATAAGAGATTTTTTATACAAAAATTATTTCTTTATAATCACGATCTAAAATTATCTACTCGAATAAATTTATTTATTAATTTACAATTATATTCTCCACGAAAAAACTCATTTCCTGAAAATATAAACTAGTGAACTGCGACAATTATTGAAGAACTGAAACGTTCTCAATGACCAATAAAGTAAACAGGTTCTACCTGTAACAAACGGCAACTACTGCGAAACAAATGAAGACGCCCATTACAGAGGCTCCTAAGATGAAGACCATTACTAGAGTGCTTAATCCTCCAGTGTTATTTGAGTCTGTTAATAAAAATTTGTTTCATAATTGCGGAAATTTATTACTGCGCGATTTAATGTTAGGTGCACAGAAGGCAATAATTTTTACTTATTAAGTTCTTTTAAAAGTAAAAAAATTATATTACAAACTTTAAGTAATTATCTAAAATAAAACAAAAATATAGGTTGTATATTAAACATCGTATATTAAAACTCCTTTTACTGTTATACCGGCTGTCTCCAACAATTATTAAATAATCAATCTATAATAGCATAACTATTATTTAGAAAAAATAATTAATTTGACTGTGTACTATTTATTACTTAAATAACTTCATGGGTTCTGATATAGTTGTGTAAACTATACATTTTGTGCTTCTAGTAATAAAATTAAAGCCTTCTTGATTACCTATTTTCATTAACGTAGGTATTTTATTAATTTATATCCCATATCGATACATGCAAATGCAATATCTAAAATACGGTTAATTTAACGTATATGTTTAGTAATTTGAAATTTGAAATTCAGTTCGGCGGTTCAATAGATGACAAATTAATTATCCTTGTTCCAATTGGCCGTAAAAATGCTTTGTGTACGTACTCGAATAAAATTTACAGTAATTACGCATTTGGTTATCTTAATTAATTAATACTGATTGAAATCAAATTGATACGGTGTCAAAGCTAACAAAACGAAATATTATGGAGTTGGTTTAACAAATTGAATACGAATTTGAAAAACATCCATAGAATTCCAATTAATGAAGTTTGATTTGCTCTGCAAATATCTAATATTGTAAATTTTAATTAAATACGTTTCCTAGTACACTGCTCTATTTACCAAATAAAGGTTCGCTTTATAATTTTTTACAATTTTCCAGCAAAAAGCATAATACAGCTTTGTTTCAGCGTTTTTACTATGATATTTGTTTTAATAATTGGAGTTTTAATTATAACGTGTATTCAACTAATTAAATAAAAAGAAAGTTATATAAACAATTACTGTTTCGATATGTTTCATTTAATGCAACTGGACATTTTGTTAACTTTGACGCAAAAATATTTTAATGGCAATCAACACATACAGAAGTAAAGAATTGTAGAAAAAAAGTTATAAATTGTAGAAAAAAAATATATATTTTAATTATAATATAATTATAATATATATTATTATAGGTATAATTTCAATTCGTGTTTATTATTACTGAAAAAAAAAATAAGATTATGGTGTAATATTCATATTTTATATCACAATATAGAATATTTCTTTGTAATTCAAAAATATTGTAACTAATTAAACAACTTTGTACTACTTCGTATAATTTTCTTCACAAATGTAATATTTTCTGTCTTTAATTACAGTACTGTCTAAAAATTAGTATAGTCCCAGCGTTATTGCCTAGAACACATTAAAGCTTGAAATTTTTTAAAACACCATATTAAAATAAAGAACCTTTTACACTATGTGAGTTGTGCAGTATAAAATTTAAATGATAATAAATATTATGGATTTATTTTAAACATTTTGATTTATCAGTAACTTAATTTCATTCATTCCAATCTAATCTGTCTTTAATATATCTATACCGGGTGCATCTCAAAAGTGGCTCACCCCTATAACTTTTTATTTGTTCAGATAAAAAAACGATATTTGGTATGCTAGTATATGACATTATTTTTTATAATGAACACAATAAAAAGAAGAAAGCTTGAATATCTAGGCCATATAATGAGGAATGAAGGAAAATACCACCTCCTAATCTCCATCCTTCAAGGGAAAGTCTTTGGCAAAAGAGGACCCGGAAGACGAAGAATCTCATGGCTGAAAAATCTCAGAACTTGGTTCACTACAACAACGAAAAATCTATTCAGAGCAGCGGCAAACAAAATAATAATAGCCAGGATGATTGCCAATATTCGAAACGAATAGGCACCTTAAGAAGAAGAAGTATATGACATAACACAGGATTAATTATGTATTCAATTGTTATTGGTCACTTCCTGTTTCACCGGAAATGACTAAAACTGTTAAATAGCACCCTTGGTATATTTTTACTTTATTGATAGAAAATGACACTCTGTGTAGAATGACATATCATATGTCAACTTTTAACATTTTCGCATATGGTTTATTTGAAATTGTAAAATGTGGTTTATACCGATAATTTGACTCAAAGTACAAAGTGTGTTGTACCAAATTATTCGTAAAAATGTTTTGTCCAAATATGTTAATGATCCATCCTTATTCCATTTGAAAAAAAACGAGATATGATTAAAAATACGATTTGGGTATCTTTAAACCAGCCAGGTCAAAACACGAAAAACATTAGACAATAAAATATATTTTTCCAAGGCTCCTTGATTGGAATTAGTGTTTTCAACACAGCCTTGACACTCTAGATTGAAATTTAAAATACAATTTTGTTATAAGTGAAAATGTCAAAAGTTGACATATGATATGTCATTCTACTCAGAGTGTCATTTGCTATCGAATAAAATAGAAATATACCGAGGGTACCATTTAAAAATCAAAAGTTGTAGATGTTTCCGGTGAAACAGGAAGTAATCAAAAATGATTGAATACGTCAATCAATCCTAATTTATATCATATATTAACATACCAAATCTCGTTTTCTTATCTGAAAAAATAAAAAGTTAAAGAGGTGAGTCCCTTTCGAGACACACAATGTTTAATTTGATTAATATATTTATTAATATATTAGTAAATATATAGGATATAATTATAAAATTATTAAACCTCCGTTTAATTTGTATTTTCAACTGTATATTTAAATCAAATTACATATATATAAACAAATTTGTTAATAAATTACATCCAATTAAAACATTTCATTCTATATTTAAATCGCCATTAAAATATTTAATATAAACAAAAAATGGTTTTAAAATATGTATTTCAATTAAAATAAAACATCAAATTTAGTTACAAATATTTAAAGGAACGTGAGCTGGAAAGTTTATCATAATTCATTTGACTATGATTCCCATTTTCTTAAAATTTTAAAACCATTTTGTTAAGTTTGCTGCAATATAAGCCTAAACATAGTTACAACATCGATAGGTTAGAGATAAAGGATAACGTACCGTATGGCGTTTCTTTCTTCTTCATGTGCTCCTGGAGGTTGGTCGTTTTAATGTCAGCGGGAGGTGTGAGTATTGGTGGCGGAGGGGTCACCTCCACTTGGATGGAGCAGTCGGTACCCGAGAATCCCAGGTCGCAGTAACACTTGTTTTCGTTGGTACATGACTAGATATAATTAATACAAGAACATTATATAGAATAAAAGCAAAATTGTTTAAATACTTATCAAATAAATTAGTAATATAACATATTGATTAACTTTATTATTATTAATATTTCTTTTTGGATAATAGTTTTCTTCATTTATAGAAAAAAAATATGATATATTTTACTAAAGCTCAAATAAATAAATAGCATAATGTTTCGGTCCCACAGTGGTGTAAATAAAAAATCCTTCAATATTTTATGCGATTTATTTTCGATTTTGTACTATAATACAATGTTTGAATTTACTTTTGTTCGCAAATACAATTTTTTGCGACTGTCAATATACTCGAAAAGATTATTTATTTATTCCAATTTCAGAGGTATATATAGAAAAATAATTCCTATTGTAGGTGTCAGATATATTATTCAAAAATACTAAATATTTCACACAGCATGTACAAGGTGTCCCATTTTCGTGTGTTTTACAGTGGTTTTCGTTTTTGAGTAGAGATACAAAGATGCTTTCACATCACTGTTCTACTTTTTTTTTATAAAACTAAGATGCTGTATACATATTTTGAGTCTCGAAAAGCTCTTAGCAAAAAAACTACTTACGCCACTGAATTCTACGTTAGAAACTCTACGTAACTCGGTTTTCATCATTTCGATAAGTTATAGAATAACGAAAAATCCAACAATTTCAAATTCGCTCGGTATTTGAGGAATCCAGAGGTTTAGGACAAATCCCCGTATCGCATCTCTAGTGTTATAAAAAAGTAGCAAATTGATGTGAAAATCGCAATTATATATTTTGACTCATAAACGAAAAATCCCATAAAACACACGGACATTTATAGGAGATGCCATACCTCCAGGCTTACCTATTAGAGGTAGTAAAAAACAGGGTGTTCTATTAAAAAAGGTGAAGTTTTATATATTTAATTTCTTAATCTTTTGTTTAAATTAATTTCACTTTCTGATGGTTCAGATAACACCTTATAACTTCTATTTTTAAAGGTTGGGTTTGATTTGGTTTGGACTATCCCTAATAGGTAAGCCTGCAGGTGTCGTACTATATATCTCTGAAACGCCTGAACAATGCTGGATAATAGTGTTAATCTATTATGATAGATATTAAATAAATATGTATAAATTATTCAAATAACATATAAAAAAAGAATTTCTTACCCCATGACCAGAACACTCAACAGTATTAGTATTTGATGGACATTTATCCTGCTTCAGATATGGAAATATCGTAACACAGGATTGGTTTGAACATACCAAGTTGTCACCACAGGGTGTGCCATCACGAACTAAACCCAGCGGTGGTATATCATCAGCATCGGTTGTTAAAGTGGATCTATAAGAAGTTAGCAAACATAAAAATAAGTATACAAAAACAATATAAAAAAAACAAACAAAAAACATCAAAACAGATGTACACGATATAAGAATACATAACAAAGGAGTGTTGCTTATCAGAAGGGGTTCAAATTTGATTAAATTACAAAAATACCGCCTTGCTGGACACAAACTAAATTTATAAGAAAAAAAAGAAAAGCAAAAAAAAGTACGTCAATAAATCTACTTAATTTGTTAAAACTTTTTAACATATTTAGTTTTTGGCTAGTTTTGATGCTAATGATAACACGCTTCATTAGTGATGACGACATATTGAGGAAGGTCAGTATCACTGTATCCATATAAGTATCTAATTTGTTAGCCTCCAACTAAATTGAAAAATTAGGTAAGACTTTGTGTGGATAAGGAGATGTGAAGAAAAATGGCCGATTGACACACGTCACACTAATGGAGCGTATAGCCGATAAATATCCGGGTTTCTTAAATTTACAGCAAACCAAAACCAAAATCAGCATAATAAACTATCTCAAGCATTGGTGGTCTCTCTGTATTTCAAACATTGTGTATTGTCCCTAGATTGTACCTACTTGCATTCGTATTCCACGTTTTTGATGTTGGTAATCGTTCGATAGAATTGCTGATCGGGCCTTTCAGAAGCGGGATGGCGCATTCCCAGTTGGCACTGCAAAGAGCCACATCGCACGTTTTCCGGCGTGCATTTTAAAAAATTGCCCATGTTGTCGCTTCCGCAGTGGCCGTGTATCGAGCCCTTCGAATTAAACATATCGAAGCACTCCGGTGCGGCCGCTATACTTCCTAAAACAGACATGATTCCATTTAGTATTCGCACGGATTTGTACGGATACGGTAAGTCGTTGAATAGTTAATTACAGGCTTGGAAAGGAAGAGCTACTTTCATGAAAAATAGAGAAAATAATCCTTTGAGTTCGGGATTTACTTGTTAATACATAAAATTGTTAAAGCTTCAGGACGATTTTCTACAAATAAAATTGTACTTTGTTGTAGTGCTAGAAGAATCCTAGATGTTCTCTAATTCATTTTGTAATTTTTCTAAAATTTTTTAAGTTAATATATTTTGAAGTTGTTAAAGTATTACACTTTTTAATTTTTATATTTTAATATTTTGACAGCAAAAAAATATGTCGTTAATCAAAATTAATAATAACCATTTATTACAAAATGAAAACAAAATGATATTACCATAGAAAAGCGTTTTGATTTTTACGATTTAAAAGTTAACCGTATTTTTCTTATTTTTCTCCAAACAAAAACTAAGAGTAACAAGATTTTAGATTAAACTAAAAGATAATCCCCCTTTAAATCCAACCAAAAAATTACACAATTCTCGCCAGTTATTTGCCTACGTGCTTACCAGGTCCCCAGATGAACTCGCACTGGGAAGTAAAGGTAGGGCAGAAGCCGTTGAAGCACTTGCCCAGGTCCTTCTCATTGCCGCAGGGGCTGCCGTTTTTCTTGAACACGTCGTCGGGGCACTCGCCCGTGTCCCCCGTACATTGTTCAGGCAGGTCGCACTCGTTTGTGGCCTCCCTGCAAATTATTCCCGGTTCCTGCAAATAAAAAACCGAAAAAGTTTCAGGTTAATGAGTTTCGGTACCTTACATTAGTTTATCTTAATATACAGTGTAACAGATTATTATTCTTTACGCTAAAATCAATATTGTTAGTATTATATCTAAAGTTATTGTTAATATTAGGTGTATTTGTAGTTAGTAAGAGATCTAATTTTATTTGATTTTTATTTTTCATTTTATCTCATATATTATTTCCTTTCAGATCTCCTTTTTCTTTGGAAACAATAGCTTCACTCTTAAGTCGAGGGCAAATGTAACAGATTATTTTCCTTTACGTTAAAGTCGATCTTGTCGGTGTTTGTTTTGAGTAGGACTTTCTTAGTAAAGGAAGTTATAAAATAAATATTTATAAACTTTTATTTTACAGGTCTATATTAAAACCTTAATATTGGTAAAATTCCCAAGCTATTTAAAAAGGCAAAATAACACTTTGCTCTTTCATATTAAAACCCCGTTCTATCTGACTTTATTGATGTGCTTATTCATTAATATCTTTATTCAAAGGATAATTCGATATATTTTTTAATGGAGTGCTCTATCTGTTTATAAATCTGTCGGATTGTGAAAAATATATACTGAGTGGTTTCAGAAAATTCTAAAATTTAATAATTTTTTTTTATATTTTTAACTGAAAACATGTTTTAAGCGTTCTTTTCAAATCTAAAATATTCTATCTAGAAATAAATCAAAGAATTCTAGTGTATGTCCCATCCGTGCTGCAAACAATGCAAACTAAAGGTAATTGAAACCACCATTTACTTTGTTTGTAGCACGCTATTTTTCCACAATAATAAAGCTAGAGCTATCATACACGCTTTATTCTTTTTCATATTTATTCATATTACGCTTGTTTATGGCGAAAATATTTTGAGAAATCCGAATACGTTGCAAAATCCAGTAATGTTGTTTGGTTACAGCCGGTTTGAATGACAAAGCATGCAAATTTTGATATTGTCCCACAAAGGGAGAATATTGTGTTGCCTATATCATGCCGTAATCAAGGGTGGATTATTATTGTTCCAATTTCTATTACATCCGTAATGGGCTGAATATACGCTTATTAACCAGCCCATCCGAGTAAATCAGATTATGCCGGAATTCACGTCCAGCATTTTTCTTTATTTTGGTTTTACTTGTGTATCAAAATGCTGTTTTTCTCTTTTTAGTAAAGTTATAAATACCACATTTTAAATAAAACTCATAATTATAGTTATCTGTTTTAATTAATGAAGAATGGAAATATTAATTTCGTTTACATTTTTTCTTAATTGACATATCTAAATTTTTCACAAAGATCTAAAGTATTTCCAATGATTATATTCCAAAAAACTACAGATTAGTCAATTTACCTGTGAATTTGTGAATTGTGTCATATTGATGTATCTTAATTATGGTTAAGTAGCAAGTGGTCAATTCGAAATAAATTTCATAACTCATTAACCTACTACTCCTAACGTATATTATACAGAGTGAGTCTAAAATAAGTGCAATTATTTTTAAGGGTGGTATATTTATTTTTATTGGTTTATTTAATAGACGTCTTAATTTTTAGATCTATGAAGACTATTAAATTTCGAGTCAAATACCTTTAATTTGCATTGTTCACAGCATGGTCCGGATGCACATTGAGCTTCTTTGGTTAGTTTACAGGTTATGGGATCACAGCAGGGATCTATGTTTTTGCAGTTTTCTATACTGCCACAGTCGCAATCTTCGCCTTCTTCTATTTTATTGTTGCCACAAGTTCTACGATCCTGTAAAGAAAACAGTACTATTATATATTTATTCTTTATGACACTAAAGCTACTAGATGTTGCATGTCAATATACTATGACTTAATCGTTTTATTACTATCCTCTATAATGATATGTTGTTATTCTAAAGAAATACTTGTGAGAAGGTATCCAATATACAATAAAATACATTATTTGAAATTGTAGTACGAAGTTCTACATAAATTTATAAATTTAAAAGGCAAAACATATTTTTATTGTACGGGCCCATATTTTAATGTTCCACTTTCGTGTGTTAATTGTTTGTTAACAATTATTTCCTGGTGAAGAGAAAATAGACCGTGATTATGTAAGTATTCCATTTTCATGTTGAACATTAGAGTTGAAATTTGCATACTTTGCTTAATTATTTTAATCGATTATTTGTTTTAGCATCAGTACCAATCACTAATCCTAAAGTCGTCTAATACAGTATTGCCAACTATTCTAATCATTGTTGATTGCTTTAAATACAAATTAAAATAATTGAAAATAAGTACCTATATCTTTAATAGCGGGTGTGTCAGAATTGTGGACAAGAAATTGTGGACAATTCAAAAAAACAATTCTTCACTTAGTTTTTTTGGACCAAATAATTTTTTTTCTAACCTCTGAATAATCGAAATCCAAATTTACGAAAATATTAATAACGTTTAGACCATTACTAACGCTCACAGTTGGTATATATTTTATGAAACAAATTATCCTGACTGGTAGAGCTAATATTTTGTTTATTATTATATTTGATTACACGTTTTTATTGTTATTATGTAATATACCATATTTAATGATATACGATTATTATAATGTAGCTATATAATATATAGTTTGGTAGTAGCTGTTCTATTGAGTTATGTATATAGTAATTGTATTATGATTATATTGTGAACTACTTCGCCCATATGGGGCGTAAATTGGACTAATTATGAAATACAATAATTATATGTCTTTAAACAGTAGCGTCACTGTATGAAATTTCTATGGCTATGTATTTGTTTGTTTTGCTATTGTTGTTTAGATGTAATGGTTGGAATTTCTGTGTCCACTAAAACAAAGACATAAATGTTTTTTCATTTTATGTAAAAAGACACTGTTAAAATTCTTCGTGAGAAAATTTCAGTGTATTTTATTGAATATTAATTTGTTTAGTCAATAGAAATACTTCATTCATTAATTAAAAATTCGACAATACTAAAATAATAAATACATAAGATATACAGAGTGTTTCAAACAACATGGGCCATCTCATGTATAGATATTTCCTCGATTTCATATCGCTATTTCATATTGTCATTGAAATTTTCTAGATTTCGGTCTCCATGATTAAAAAAAAAACAATTTATTAATTTGCTTTAATCCAGTTCTAATAGTAAAATTTGAAAATTTTTAATGTCATTAGCTTTAACAGTTAATCCACAAATTATACACTTTATTGCACAGAATTCTTGTAATATGATAAAAAAATCATTTCACAGGCTTTTTACAAAAATAGCTCTCATTTACACTCCCTTTTTTAAATAGAGCAAATTACAAAATTACATTTAAATTTTTACGTTAAATTTAAACAAATCACTTTCATGTGAACTCACATTTTGTTTAAATATGTCTTTTGTATGACTCATTTTTTATGATTCATAAAAATTCAGAATTCAACAAGCCATTCGCTGTGTCGTGTCTTCATAATCTTCAGCGAAATAAAAATATGAGCGGGAACAGATTTTGCTCGGTCGTTCATTTTAAATAACAAAAAAGGCGAAGCGGACAAGTTTCGAGGAGCTGTGATTTGCATTCATTATAAAACTTTATTAAAAAAAATCCTCTTTAGCTGCGCGACGCTGCATGCAAATAGAGCGGGCATGTTTAAAAGTTTAGAGAACTATGGAAAATTATTAAAATAACGCGCGACGCTGAGCTACGAGAACGCGGGAACGTGTTTTCGAACAATATATACATTTGAAGTTGTTCGCCATTATGTAATAATTCAAAAAGTTTCATTTTAAAATTGTTCTAAACTTATTACAATATTAACTATTTAAATTAAATTGAAGAAAGTGTGTCAAATTTAAAATATCAATATAGTTCAAATCAAATAAACTTTTAGTCACGTGATTAAGCTTGACCGGCACAGCGTTGCACACTTTTATATATTTTCTTTTAATAAAAATATTTTAGTAAACCAAAAATAAATTAATTTTAGATATATAAACAGTTAGTATTTACACCAACAAAACTCACTTTCTTAACAAGACTTAAGGGGCATAAAGGTCCATTACTACCGCTTTCCCGTTCAAAATATTCTAATTAAGTTGCGATGAGTTTTTTACAGCTATTAAGCTATCTTCTACACTTCGCACTAAAAGAGGTTCTAAAAAGAACAATGTTCGACTAAAAGGTCTGCTACTAAACATTTTTAAGCTTAAAGTATCACAACACTATTAAAAAAAAAGTGTTTTTAAACAAAAATTGTACAAAATTTTCAAGCTATAGGGAAAAGACGACGACTCGTTAATAAATTAACGAATAAAGTATCACGAGATGTAATTAAATCGTGAAGCTGAACCCATGATGTACACCTTTCCCTAGAACTTTAAGTACTGACAGAGGTACTGATTGGGTCAACCAGATGGTACAAAGAAAACAAGGTATGATCGATAGCGGCTCCAATTTCGTTCAGTTTGCGCATACCACCTGTGACGTCATATGCCATACAAAAAAATATGCATATTGTTCAATTGACAAGAAGATACGAGCGCCATACCAATTTCTGTCCTTTATCATTATTGCCTTGTGCGCACATGCAGCAATGATACAAACCTACAAATTACAAACAAATAATAAAGAAAATCAATGAATATTTAAAAAAAACAAATATAAATTAGTAAAAACCTTAGGTAAAAACCAACCAACACCACCAAATAACCAACTCTAACCAATGAATTAACACCCTCTAAATAATCACGCTAACCAACCCGCCAAATAACTGAACCAATCCAACCAAAAAAAGTGAAACCAATGCAATCAAATCACGCTAAAGTAAACGCCACGAATATTTGGGAGTGATTCATCGGTCGCTACCATGTGAACTAATCTGTTCAAGGTCACATAAAACTTAATTCCAGTGCCGTGGTCTTTCAAGTCATATAATAATTTGTTGTAATTTGTTGTTTTAACTGTCAAAGTCTTGTCAAAACAGATATTTGGTTATAAATATAAAATGGAATGCCCCATTGGTGGCACTGCAAGCACACCAATGGACTGACGCAAAAAAACGAATCAATCAAAGAAACCCGATATAGTATCGTCTTTGTCAATCACGCTAACATTTTAGAATAAGTAGGAGGAGCGCAGGCAGATGATTAGACCGGGCCTTTAAAAACCTTCGTCTGCGGTAAAAATTTACTTTTTTTTTACGTTTTTAATGTAAAAATGATAGCGCGCTTGTCGATTCTAACTTCATCAAGCGATGAATCACTCCCAAACATTCGTGGCGTTTACTCTATAAGCGTTTTTTTATATTTTTTTATAAAAAAAAATAAAAAAAGTTGTGAGATTTGAACCACGGACCATTCGCTTACGAAGCAACGACCTCAACCACAGAGCCACAGGTGCTTTTGCAGAAATACTATCGCTAGGCGTTACTTTCCGCCATTTTAGGATGTCTCGGCATGCGCATGCGCACATGCGATAATCATAAAGGACGGATTTAGGTATGGCGCGCGTATCTTCTATTTTCAATTGCCACTAATAAAAAAAGACATAAAATAAGGAAGAATTAGGACATAACCCCAAAAGTCGGTAAACCACATAAAGTAAAAAACCACATAAAGTAAACAACGTAAAGGACATAGCCTCAAATCATCGAGCTTGACATTTGAAAAGTTATGACACATTTATTATGTGTCATCTGTTTGACAATTTGAAATTGGCGCGCGGAGCTTGCCGACCAATAGTGCCGTTTATCACCTGTGACGTAGTGACCAACCTGCGCAATATCATACCTTGTTTTCTTTGTATCATGGGTCAACCAGTAGACTGCAATAAATTTGCTATATCCCCTTCCACGTTTCTTAGCAATGTGCACAGGTTCTCGGTTTATTTCATACGTTTGGCAACGTGTTTACTGTTCCCTCGTTGTTCAGTACATTATAAACGCACTGCACTCTTCTTACATACGGAAATCTCGACCCAATACCAACATTTACCAGCCCTTAGTATCATCAAAAAGTAACGAATTGGGAAATCTTCTCACTAGTGAAATAATACAAGTAGGTTTTCATTTGAAAAAAAATATTTATAATAACTTTTTAACGCTTTAAGCTTAATTGCATGACAGCTACGGCCAAAAAAATGACATTAAATTTTTGAACAATTGAACAATTTGATTTTTGAAATATATAGCCACATGCCTTCTCTTTAAGTCACAGTGGTTGTGGTAATCACTAAATTTGACGTTTAAGCTGTACACATTTTTTTGACACGCAGTTTTTTCCCTACAAGATTTTTACATATTTTTTTATATAAATTCATAAAATTTTACAGATAATTTAGGCGTGTAATAAAAAATAGGGGTATCCATTTGAAATAAGAAAGTTGCTGTCAACTTCCGGAATTTCTGGAAGTGCCGCCATATTGAGACCCTGCATATCGCCCTAATGTAAATTATTAATGTTTATTAAATAAAACATTTTTTTTACCATGATGAATGATTATGTGATGGTCCAACTACTTATCGTGGTTATAATTAAACAAATAATCACCAAAATTTTCACCTGCAACTCGTTTGGTTTGTTTAATAAACAGACTCCCGATCCGGTTCGCAGTCGGTCGATGTAGTCTGCCATGCTACACTCGCTAAATTTGTACGGTTGGACGTTGTCCAGTCCGACGATGGACTTGGCCATGATGCACCCGTGCCAGTCTTTGCAAAAACACTCTTCCCGTCCGTCGTCGTGGCCCATTCCTATGTTGTGGCCTATCATATGGGCCATAGTACCTGGAACAATGCACAGAACACAAATAAAATATTAGTATTTTTTATCATATTGTGACAATCGTATCGGATGGTTAATATTTTTTGATATTCACTTCTATTAGTTGATTGGTCTGATTCTACATCTTGTGGTGCTCGGTATTTTATTAGTATTAATTTAATACATTTAATTTCGCGTATACTTTTTTTTTCATAATAAATATATTCGCCCGCTACGCAATTGCGCCTTGGGCAGTAAACTACCACTTCGACTGTAACTTCAAAATAGTCCGCCGCAAACTCAACTGGTCATTTTTGTATCGCGATATCCGAAGAAATTATAGGACTTTTATCCACAAGAAAGTGCATGCAGGAACGTTCAAGGAGCTGGCTTAGAAATAAGGTAGGCGAACATCCGCAATAATTCTTTTATTTGTTTCTTTATTCATAAGCTTCATTCAGAACCTCCCAATTAGTGGTTTCGATTACACTTCATACTTTTTAGTTTACGATCATTCACAATATCTAAAAAACACTGTCTGTTGTATCTATAGAGAAAGCATAATATTTGGCTTATAAAACAATAAACTTTTGATTTCTAACCAAAATTTTTCTTGACGGGTGATAATCAAAGGCCAAAATGATTTTTCTCGCAAATTTTGAAGTATAATTAGTGGAAAAGTCAAATGTTTGTTAGGTTAGGTTCTGAATAAAGCTATTTACTGCCTACCTTCATTGCTTTTGGTTGTAAATACAAAATATTATTACAAATTTTAGTAATTAAATGAGAATTTCACTCTAACTTCCAATATTTGTTGGATTTCTGTCACATTGATTGACAAACAAAATCAGGAAAACCAGCCTTCTCGCGCTGGTTAGTTTGGTGACAGTTATAACCGAATTTTTCAAGAACCGTGTTCCGTAATAAGAAAACTTTCAGGAAACCGATAGAAACGGAACATAAAACCATAACCAAGGTAAGCAACGGAATACACCTTAAATTTGCTTAACTCACCTGCCAGTAAGTGTGGCTCATACGTGTTAATGTCCACACTAATCCCCACCGATTTGGGTGTGCACACTGTTGCCGGCACCGCAATGCCAGCCTCTCCACCAACAAAAACCTCGCCGGAAAGAAGTTGCGTCGTGTCCTTCTCCACGGCGAACAGATTCCTAGCCGTGTACTCGCTGAAGAGGGATAGGGCGTTGCCGATGTCGAGGTTTCGATTTATTTGTGCTTGGTTTCGGCCTAAAGAAAGAAGAAAAAACCTTCATTATTGTTTCTCTTTAATTGCACGCCGAGGAACCGATCGATCGGGTTGTTAAGGATGGCCGTAATTGGAAATACGGGGTGTTTTAAATTGAATAGAGTTTAAGTTTATCAGAAAATTGTATGTTTTATTGAGTTTCTCGTTTATGAGTAGAGATACAATGATGCTGTTTTCACATTGCTGTGCTACTTTTTTATGAAACTAAAGATGCTACAAGCAGGGTCCGAATTCTGTAGCTTATAAAACGCTAAGCGCTTTTAGACGCTCAGCGTATATGACGTTAATTTTCGCTTAGCGCGCATTTAACTACTGATTTGGCTATTCTCATCTAACGCGCTTAGCGTCTTTACCCATTGCTCTAAGCGATTTGAAAACGGTTACCTTAAAGGATCGTTTTGCTTGTCGAACTGTAAGTAAAAATAGAAAAAAAAATTGTGCGTTCTCTTGCTCTCTAATAAAAACTATTTCTTCTTCTATAAATTCTTCAATAAGTAATTGATTTTTTTTCCTTTTTGTGATTTTTTTTGTGAAATAGCGCGAAGCAATCAAGGTCAAACGTGTGGTGGCTTCAGAAAAATAAGTAAACATGGAGTACGAATAAATATTAATTTGTAATTGAGTGTAATGTAATACTATACTGTATTAAGCTGATATGAAAAATCAATGATTACCGATGGTAGATTAAATTGGTATTCCTCTAAGTTTAAACAAGAATATTTAGTTTTAATCATTGTCTAACATTATTAATTACAATAGAGTAAAAAAATATATTTTCAAAATTTAAAATCGTAAAACTGCAGGGCAATACGCAGTGACTAATATAGGTCATAATCCACGATGTTAAGGCCGGGACACACCTATCATACACGTTTCCGATCCGGCTCCGGTCCAAATAGATTTATACCACACACAAACCATGTTATTATTATATATTAACGTACTTTTATTGACATCGGGCCAATCAATAATTTTACCAATCAGCTCGATATATTGATGATGTTGCCTCTATTACTCATCAAGCGACACTACTGTTATATTAATCAATTTAGGCTGCGTAAAACAAACATAGCATATAAAATTTTATATACTAATTCATAATCATAAAATTAAATAATAAACATATTTTATTTATATTCCTGCAGATTGAGTTAAAAGTTTTGTTCATAAATATCTACTCTACATATTATAAACGCGTGTTCAAATATTAATCATGTGGAATATGTATCAATATAAAACGAGATGTAATTAACGAAATATCATCGTAACAACGGATATTTTAGAAACGTCTAGGTTTACTTATTTCACTGAAATTTGTGAAAAAAAGTCCTTTGCCTCGGGTACAGATACCGCCACGTTTTGGATAAATGCGACAAAGTTGGGCGACGAAATGTGAGCTTGACCTGCTTTAAAGAGTTCTCCGCATAGTGTAGAGGCTGTTTTAAGTATAAAGTATAATTGACACCACTAATTTAATATTCTCAATTAAGCTTTACCCTACCGATCGATTGGTTATAAATAATTATTAATTGATACATAGTGCTATATTAAACTATTATCCTCTAACAAGAAGAAGGCCACTACACCGTTCCACTCTACCTTGCCACGTTTCTATATACACTACGGACACCCTAGTGTTCAACGTCCGAAAATAGAGGTCCGCTATGTTCGCCACTTGTATCGAATCGTGCACCACCTCGATGCGGGTGCTGCCGTTGCGCTTCTCGAACATGCCCTTGTCGATGACCAGCGCCGTCTCGATGTACTTGGTGGCCTCGCGGATGTCCCGCTTCACGCGCTTCTTCGGGGCCCCCCCGGCTCCTCCGCCCCCGCCGCCGCTCATGTAGTTGTTGGTGTTGAGGCGCCACTCCATCGAGCTGGTGGTGGCGCAGCCCTTGTTCGCCTTGGTTCGCGCCTCGAAGATCACGTGTGGGTGTTTCTGCTGAAAAAAGAAAGTCGTGCAGTCACTTGGGGTTCGATAAGACGGACGTTGTATTTAGGCCGGTAAAGGGGGATTGACTATTGACGCCCAATACACGCGAAACACTACATCAATACGACACTCGAGCAACATGTGTTTGTGTTCAGACGAGGGACACGATAATGGTGGTTTTTTGGCCACCGAAAGAAAATCTACAGAATAAATAAGTATTTTTACAAGCACAACTGCGTTGATTCAACGGAGACCAATTTGTCAGTGTGTTTTTACTAATAAGCCAAATTTTTTTAACCGCACAGTTCTTTGGTTGCACCAGACAGTTTTCTGCTTTTGTTCTTCGCGATATAAAAATCTAGCCAATATTTAGTGTAGTATAACAACCCAGGGTCGTCAACAAAGTGGAAGAGGTTGGCCAACTGTATAACAAACAATTTTAATAAAATAATGGAACCTACATTGTGTTAAAAATATTTTTATTGTAATCACCTCGGATGCGCCCGACAGAAGCAATATTTTGGGAAATTTGAGGAGAATAGATTGTAAATAAAAGGCTAAATTTGTAAATAGCTCTACTTATTTTATTAAATAAAATGAAAGGAGTGCCGTACTCTACCTGGAATTCACAAGTAAAAGAGCAAGGCAGAGAAAACCTTGATCACTATTCCAGGAATCCAACTATACTGTTCTGAACTTTAATAAAACAGAAATAATAATAAAGCAAAAACTGTCCTTATACGTTTGTAGTTTCATATATCCAAAACATGCTACATTTTTTACATTCAAAAAGGAAGAGGTTTTTGTTAGTTTAGCGGGTTTCCACCGGCAGGTACTAAGGTCCTGGTTGCGGAGCTTGAAGCTAAAGTTAAAGGTCTGGTACAAATATCTTCATATAAATATCTGGGGCACGAAATAGCAATTGGTCGCGATAACCAGATACACGAGATACAAAAAAGAATAGGACTAACATGGGCAGCATTCGGCAAACTAAGATGTGTGTTAAAATCAGATCTACCAATGTGCTTAAAGAGGAAGGTGTTCCATCAGTGTGTTATGCCAGTACTTACATATGGCGCAGAGACACTTACACTGACGAAAAAGTACATAAAGAAGTCCGTGTATCCCAACGAGCTATGGAAAGAGCAATGCTTGGTGTATCTCTAAGAGACAAGATATCCAATACAGTTATAAAATAGTGTACACGAATAACAGATGCTGTATATCTGCTTAAAAAACTCAAATGGAACTGGGCTGGGCCTATTGCCCGAAGAACGGACGATAGATGGACCAAGCTAATACTAGAATGGCGGCCAAGATAGGATGGATGGCGGCCAAACTGGATCCAAATGGCACAGGACCGAGAAGAGTGGAAATATTTGAGGGAAGCCTACGTCCAGCAGTGGACACTTCAGGCTGGTTGATGATGAGGATGATGACAAACATCTTTAGATTAAAAGTTATTCTATTTATTGTTTTTGGTTGCTCTTTCGCGAGCTAAGATATTCGCCCATGCACGGTCGAAAAATGTTTAGGGGATTTGGAAATTTGGTTTTGTTAACGAGAAAATATTCTCGTTTCGTCTCGTCTGAACACAAATATAGGTTGGCAATATGCTCGAGCGTTGCCAACGTTGTGTTGTGGAGGTATGTTGCTCGAGTGTCTTGCTATTGTCGTATTGTTTCGTGTGTATTTGACTTTACTTTTGATATGAATTCGTACGAACTTTTACGAGCTCACTCAGAATTCCTCAGAAGAGATCATATGCGTACGTTGATATGTGTCTGGTTAGATTGCTTACAATTATTCCTTAGGAATTCGTACTAAATTTAAATAGGACCAAAATATTTTCTTTTTATTCGTCAAAATAGGATCCATTTATTGGGTTAGTTTACTAATATAAATGTTAGTTTGTCTTGTCTATTTTAATAAAATAATTTTCTCATTTTCTTTTTGATATTTGTTGCTGCATTGTTATTAAGTATTTCTGTGGATTAGTTTACTCATTTTGAGAATCAATTCCAGGATCCCAGGATTATAAGTTATTATCCCGGGATTTCAAAATCTTCCAATCCCGAAAGTTGGAAACGCTACTTATTAATGTATTTATTCAAAAATGCTGTCTAGAAAATTGAGTTTTTTTTCTTAACTTATTCAGTCACGACTAAACCTGCTGTTTTTTTTATTAAAATCTTTGTAGTGGTTAAGTTTTCATTTCTTTGAATAAGAATCTTTGTCATGATATAACAAAATATTTCTTCTCTAAATAAATATAATATATTCAATCTTTTCTTAAAGCAGCGCTTCCTGCGAAAAATAAAAATAGTTATGTTCGGCCCATAAACATAAAAGACTTCATGTTTATAGAGTGGCCATTTTGATGAAGAGGGTTATTTCCAGAACTACTTTTTATTCGTCGCATCGTATTTTCTTTGTGTTTAGAAGGACCGTCGTCACATATTGCAACTGGCGCAACCGTACGCTGCAAGATGAATGTAAATTGGCGAGATATCGCGAAAAATATCAACTGAGCGTTATGTTCGCGAGGTGCACATTTCATATTTTTATTCTGCTCGTCTAAAAACGTCCGATTTTCTCTTATCTGACTAAGGTTTTTACAAAATCAATACGGGAATCGTCATAAATTGGAGGAAAAACCGATATTTACTTTATATGGAAGGAAATAAAGTAGAAAGTTTATTCTTTCTAAGTGGTCATTGTTAGACCAACAGCATACGGATAGAATATATATTTTTATAGAGAAAATTACATCATAACATACAAGATGACCCAATTCCGATTCGAAAAATCTTTATATTTTTGATATTTTACTTCAATCGTTTCTACAAAATATGAGGTCAATGGCGCAGTGGCCATTTAAAAAATACTTTATATTTTAAATATTAAGTTAGGAACATTTTATCAATATTAGAGTAGATTTATTGAATCCGCTATCCACTGGCCTGTTTCAATACGACCCTTACCAGGGCCGGCGGAAGGGAAACATTGAGACCGAGAGAGTATCATATCTGGCGCTCGTCCCCCTCACCCCTCCCCTTAATAGTTATTATACTTTCTCTTTCTTTCAATACTATACTTTAACTACAACTAAGCGTATTTATGCTGCTTTAACAATAATAAATTTTTACTTAAAGATACTTCAAAATTCTTTTTTTCGTTCAATTTTAGTCTGTTGTTCTATACTGGGTGCGTCTCGAAAGTGACTCAACCCTATAACTTTTTTATTTTTTTTACATACAAAACGAGATTTGGTATGTTAGTATATGACATTAATTAGGATTGATTGACGTATTCCATTGTTTTTGGTCACTTCCTGTTTCACCGGAAGTGACTAAAACTTTTGATTTTTAAATGGCACCTCGGTATATACACTCAGAGTAGAATCACATGTCATATGTCACCTTTTGATATTTTCGGCCAAAAAAATATATTATAATTTAAATTTTAATCTGAAATGCTATGACTCTGTTAAAAACACTAATTTTTAAACAAAGAGCCCTGGAAAAATTGATTTGATCATCTAATGTTTTTCGTGTTGTTTTTAATGTCTTGTCCTGGCCGGTTAAAAGATGCCCTAATCGTATTTTTAATAATATCTCAATTTTTTGAAACGGAACAAAGGCGGCTCATTAGCATATTTGGAAAAAGCATTTTTTTACGAATAATTTGGTATCATACAATTGGTATTTCGAGTCAAATTGTCGTTATGAACCGTCGAAATATTCCAGATGCGAAAATGTCAAAAATTGACATATGTCATAAAGTAGAAGTATACCAAGGGTGCCATTTAAAAATCAAAAGTTGTAGTAATTTCCGGTGAAACAGGAAGTGACCAAAAACAATTGAATACGCCAATTAATCCCAATTTATGCCGAAAAAATAAACAAGTTATAGGGGTGAGTTATTTTTGAAAAGTACCCGGTATATAAAATTATAAAAAATAAAAGTCCAACTTCGGCAGTCTCGTTCTGGTATTGTATATATATATATATATATATATATATATATATATATATATATATATATATATATATATATATATATATATATATATATAATAGTATATACCTTTGAAAACATTAGTAATTAGTTGCACAGTTGCTTTATTTCTCTATAAGAATTTAAGTAAATTTTGTTTTCTTTTTCGCAATCAATTCTTTCGTGCAGAATCAGTATATGATTAGATACAGTTTTGTCGGCTTCAAAATGAGGTTCAGCCAGTGTTTGAGATGCATTCCCCTGTCTTGCTCCAATGAGAAAGTTCTACGATTCTACTAACATTTTTCGTGTATTACTACATATTCATTCCGGAACCGAAACTTATAAGAATAACTAGAAATTTTTTTTAGCTGGAATAATAAATTATAATACAAGTTAGACCTTCTGAAAATATCAAAATATTTCCTTTTTTACTTTTTATTTTTAGAATTTTAACAAATTATACTTTATAATACTTTTAGAATAATTGTATAATACATTTTTCGTATAATCGCTATTTAAACTCGTGTATTTGTACATGCCGGTTGTTTACGATATTCTCCGATGGCGGCAGCACCGACGGAGAATGCATCAAGATTATTGTCTCCTGGACATTCTTGTAACTGCTTTTGAAGCACCATAAAAGTAGTCTAGACCTATGAATGGCACTTATGAGTCTTTTCGTTATTCTTTTGATTTTTCTCGTCCTATACCCACAAAATCGCAAACTAATCTAAAATTAACGCCTGTGGAATCGAGTGCCTTTAGAGTTGTTTTGTTATCTGTGAAAATGGCAACCGCACGGTAAGTTCTTTCCTGCTTTATTATTAAATATAATAATAAATTAATTTAATTAATCATTAACATAATAAGGTATTGCCATTATTTTTAAATGATATATTGCGACATACTTGGATCGGCTTACTATGATGATACAAGTTAAAAGGGTACACATTTACCCAGTCTTCTCTGCCTGGAATAATTTTTCTTGATAAGATTGAATGACT